TATAAGTTATAGAATATTTAATTCCAAGAATATTATCTAAATAAATTCTTCCTCTTTCTTTTTGTCTGATATCTCCTAATATCTGTTATCGGCTGCTACCGCCTCCAGTCTTTGTAACTATCCCTAACTCTACTCTCGGTGTCTGCTATTAGCTTGATTTAACTTGTTATCGCCTCCTGTCCCTATATCTATTCCTACGTTTGGTTTTCATTAGTAAGTAGAAATTAATCTCTATGATTTTACCTTTTTTATATTTTATTTATTTTCTCTTCTACATTCAATATTTTTAACAAAATTCTATACAATTACCAATACCATGTAAAAACAATCAATAAAAAACATTTTCAAATTTGATTTATTCATTATAGAAACTCTACCACTCCGGGATGGTTTAAGATTCACAAATTTTGATGACTTCAGTAACTGTCATTTCCATCTTTGTATCCATTATAAAGCCTGTTCATTTTTTAGTACTTCCAATCATATTCTTGTCTTCTAACATTTTTCATACACAGGTACTTTAATAATTGTCCTACGTTTTTTATATTTTATTCTCTATCTTAGCCTCATTTTATATTCGAGATACAATTAAAAAATTGATGTGACTCTAAATCGTCTGGTACGTTATACATTAAACTTCCCTAATACTAACTAATCGTTTTATCAAGATGACCATCAGATTACTATATGGATTGTCATTGTTTTATTTCTTTTGTAAATAGTGTATTATATCTGATAGGATAGTATCTAATAAAAAGGAAAAACTGACGTGTGTTTGATATACACGACTTAGTTATTGCGCAAACCAAATTTATCCAATTAAAATTCTAATATCATTGGCAATAAAACGTTATAAAGTCATCTTGTAAATTTATGCTTCACTATCGATAACTCCTATTAATATCTGGTTTTTAGCATAATGATACTTGACAATCGAGCGTCCTTGAAAAGCTAGACTGAGGCATGAGGGTACCGGTGTTCCATTTTAAGATGCCTACAAAAAAAGCAGAAACCACGTGAAGATCAGAATAAAATTAAAAGTAATAACTAATAACGTGTGTAAAAACTCAACTTGACTATACGGGCGTCATCATGTTTGATTATGAGATATTGGATTTAAAAAATGGTAGTTTATGGCCAGTCACGAAATAGTGATTTTTATATATTACAGGTATACTTATGGTGTTACTAGGGATATGTTTTGTAATTATGAAGGTGTAAGAATCGAGTTATTTTAATGGATTTTATTCAGTTTGTTGCTTCTACGTGTCTGTTGTTTTTGAAGAACAGATTTTATGTACATGTAATAATTGCAGACATTTTTAATTATATTAATTGTAATCTTTTCATCTTTATACTACAAAACAGTACCGTGATTAACTGAGAGACAACAAGTTGGATCTAGTAAGTTGAAATATGTAGAAAATATACCTTGAGTGCCCTAAAGGTACAATAAATATAATTTTTTTATTTAAACTCCGTCCCCAATGTTGGTAAAAGGGGTGATAAAATTTATATGAAGAAAACATTTTTTTTAGTTACAATGATATATGGCAATTTGTAATATTTGCGTCAATATTTTTAAAAATTCATCTACTAAAGGGATGAATTGGTCAAAGTACTAACTGATTGACAGACAACGCACAGCCTTAACCAGTGGACTTACAGACTCTAAACTTGAAGAAAATATTTCTCGGGTACCCTAGAAATGTAACAGGGACAGATTTTTTAAAATCTTATCCCTAACGGGGAGAAGAAAAGTGAAAAAGTTAACATGAAAAAACATTTTTTTAAGCTACGATAATGACACTTTGTCAACATACTTTTTTAAAGAAATGAAATAACATCTGTTTTATCACTTTTTGGAGTTGAGTTTTTGGAGATAAATCGAAGATATCCTTCAATTATTAAATTGGTGGGCCCGGGCCCTTTCATCTAAGTTCCTCCTATCTTTTGATATATGTCTTCTTTGTCTTTTTTATTTATGACTTTTCATATAAAGTCTTTTATTCTTTTTCAGATTTCTCGACTCTCTATCATACTATCGATTATCTAACCTTATAGTTAGATTTCCAATTATTTCAACAACATTATTAATTTATTTTCGTATTCAAACAGACGCACCTATGGATTGCGTATTCGGTTATATTCTCTTCACCACAGTAAGTATAGTCTGGGTCAATTGACTTGCCAATCCTGTGTGTGTAGTTCCTAAATGAACAATGTGCACTAAGAATCTATGTGTTATAGTAATCCACTCTGAGGTGTTCACAAATAAGCCAGCTGCTAAGGTTTAAAATTAAGGTCTTTGACCATTTTGCAGTTTGTTAGGATTTCGTTCTATGCATTCTGCCAAGCTGTCTTAGTTTGCTGTTTTTGTTTCCTGCTAATTACTTCGTTGATTTATTTGTCTCTTTGTTTTCTCTCTGATGATCCAGGAGAGAGATCATCAGTGTGGCCGAAGTTATCTTGGTAATGACATTCATTGTGTGGAGTAAGATCGTGCATTATGCACTAGTAATATTTATTACTTACCTCCTCTGCATTCTTTAAAGCATTTTCCCATATATTTTTTGTCTGCGGTCTTGTACTACACCGGTACTCTATACATAAAGATCGAGTGTACCACAAGACTCAATACTTCTCTTTTGCATTGGAGAATCATCCTATCTTTGGTATTTTTCTCGCCAAGGCTGCGTATAATTTTTCTGCCTTTTCTTTTGTTTTTTTTACGTTTATTGAATGTGAGTTTGTCATCTTGATGGATGCTTAAACATCTAGAACATTCCGTAGGGATTATATCTGTATTTTCAATATAGTTGAACTAATATTCCCCCTATTTCTTTAAAAATTACAGCCTCGGTCTTTTGGAGCGCTACCGTAAGATTGTTTCTATCTATCCATTCAATTATTATTATCAGTAAATTTGTTTATTATTTTAATGCATCCAGGTATAAGGCCTGATCTGACAATGCGAATGAGGTCGTCTGCGTTCCCTATGGTTTCGCATTCTTCGGGAAGCTCAAGTTTTAACACCTCATTATCGAGAATATTCCAAAATGTTGCACCCACAACAGATCCTTGTGAAACCCTTTAAGGAATAATCTTGTTGATTCCAGATACATATATATTTGTCTGTCTTTAAAATAACTTTTTAATATATTCAATAACCACCCCGATGTTTCACATTTCTGCAATCTACTATGCATATAATTGCTTGGTGTGTGGTTGGTATCTTATAGAAATTTGAAGCAGCTTGTAAACGTCTTTGTAAGAAAAAACAACGAGAGAGTTGGATAACATATTTTAATAAATTAAATAAAAGTACCCCCATAACACGGATTTGGAACATTGTTAAATCCATTAGTAATAAACATTTTTCTAAAAAACTCAAATAAATGATAAAGAATTATCAAAAGTTGTAAATAATTAGGCTTTTCCTAGTGTTGTCCGAAAATCACCCATAAGTTCACGCGAATTTTCTTCCGTAGAGCCAAACGATTTAAATAAATCCTTCAATTTATCTGAACTAGACATTTTATTTAAAATTACAAAAAATACTTCGCCTTCAATGATATGGGTCTGTAATTGCTAACTGTGTAACGTGAATAGTTATTTTATCTACTTTGATAACGTGTTTGAGCTCAATACGAGGGTTAGGTTTTTAAATAACTCGAATAACTTTGAAAAAGAAGTTGGGCAACACTATATTTAAAGCTTATACACTTAACTCTAGATTAGTGATAAAAATATAGAAAATCACTAACCACTAACAAATTATACTTAAAACATGCTTTAGATAAGGTAGGTATCAAATTCTAATTGACATAAGTCTGCATAAAATTTAAATTTAAAACAATTTACTGATTAAATAAATGCACTTATCTGCAGGTACATAAGGTAAGTTAAAGGTTAAATCAGGTATTTCTTCACTCCAACTGTAGAGGTAGAGGTACACAACACTCCGGTCTGGAAACTTCCACCAGGGATTCGGAACTCCTACTCACAATTCTCATATGTGACTGCATACATGGTATTCGAACTCAAAACGTCTAAAGATGAAACGTGAATGATCTTCGATCTTCAAGATAAATGGTTCGTATCGTATTTAAATCCAAAACTGTCTAGAGATGAAATCAAAACCGTCTAGAGATAGCATCAGCTAAAAAGAATTAAAATGTTATGATAGATGAAAGGAAAATTGAAAAAGATTTAGAAAAATGCATTAACTATTAAATGAATAATTTCAAACTATTAAATGAATAATTTCACAGTGAATAAAATTAATATGAAAAGGAAAAATTTTATTTAATATATTTAAATATAGTAAAGCATAATATCTTATTCCAAAAAATAATATATAATTTTATATAAAACTAACACATGTGTTATTCATTGCTGTAGAGGTTAAGTATAAAATTCGACAATTTGTTCAAGAAACCCTTGCACAAAACATATATATTTAATGACATATTATTAACAAAACCTACCTTATAAAATCAGATTGCCATTAACATAAATAAATATCATTTAATACCTCGAATGACCGAGATACAATTAAGATTGAAGTGACCTAGTCTTCGCTGTCTGTTAGATCGAAATAAAAATGTCACTACTTTTGATACAAGGCATAGACGACAAATGACATTTGAGTAAGAGGTCATTGTGTCGAAATAACGAAAGAACGGTTCCAACCGTTACTACTGTTGTTCTTTCACCATTTTTGTATATCGGTATGACCACAGAGTGTTTAAGTGCCTCAGGCCATATCCCTTTTTCGATGCAACCATTTACAATATATACAAGAGGAAACGATATCTGATTAGTTTTTTTTTTAATATTCTGTTATGTCGTCAACTCCAGGGAATTTATTATTTTTCAGGTAATGGATCAGTCTCGTTTGTTGAAGTAAATGTCATGGAATTAGTCAATCTTCTTGTTGTGTGTTTATATTGGGGGTCGATTTGAATTTGTTTAGCTAAAATTTTATCAAAACTTACAAATGTACTATTAAAAGAATTTGCTAATAGTTGAGTAACATTTAAGAGTTCTTCGTTGTTGGTATTGGTTATTTCGATATCGGTTTGTTTATGTTCCGTCCACATAATGTTTTTACCATGGACCACAAATATTTAGTGTTAATTTTATATTTTTTAATTTTTGTTTAGTTTAGTTTTTTTTTCAAAATATTAGTAAGATTATTTTTGTATAATCTATATTGTATTTTTAGTGCCTCGTTTGCAGGCTCAAGATTTGGTTTTTTATTTATTTAATTTTTTTTTATTAATAATAATTAACACGCTATTTGGGAGCCATGGTGCAAAAGCTGTATTACAAATTTTTCTTTCTATACTATTTTACATCAATGTTTGTAGTTCATTCAGGTTGATGGCAATATTGTGATTTTCTGCTGAATAAACAGAATTCCAGTTCAACTTCTCAGCATTTTCAACTAATTTTCTATAATTCATAAATTCTTTATACCGTGGCTGGAATGGTAGTTTTGTTTTTTCTAGGACTATTTGTAAAATGGTTGCTTCATGATCAGCAATCGAAGATTTCAATAATAACGGAATAGATATATCAGTAGTTGTGATTGGCCAGTTCTGGACGGGAGGTAATGAGAGGTAATTAGTAATTATCATAAGTACCCACCCCCACCCTTCGCGCAATTAGCAAGTACCTCCCAATGAGCGTAATTGCATAGTGTGATTGCATAGTGTAATTGCATAGCGTAATTGCATAGTGTAATTGCATAGCGTAATTGCATAGTGTAATTGCATAGTGTAATTGCATAGCGTAATAAGTGTAGTTACTTCATACGCATATAGATATAAGTATTTACTATGTATATCGAGTAGCGTGTAACGAGCATAGTAAGTACCTCTTAGATAGTAATTGCTATGTATATCATGTAGTGTAATGGGTTCAGTTCAAGTACATATGAGTGATTACTATTGTAGCATAAGGGAAATACGTCGGAGCATACCGAAACACATCCTTGACTCTCAACCGTCATAGCTAGAGTGAAGCGCAAGTCTCCAGCAGATACGCACGACGTAAACATCGGTGGAAGGGATAGTACCCCATTCTTAACACAATTTGCGAGCGCCTCTCAGACTTGTATATTATGAATAGGGGAGGGGAGCATAAGAGAGGTGGAGATTTTAGAGAGGATATATAGTAGCACCCATATTCAAATGAAATCAGTACAAAACTCGTGAGCTTTAAGCGCGTTGTAAGTTCCATTATCTAATATCGAAATTATCATAAAAATAATAGACATGTATAAGTGTAATTGTGGTTTAACATTTACAAGGATAGATAATTTACATCGACATCAAAATAAAAGTTGTAAGCTAATATCTAATCGCACCGGTGAATCATCGCGTGGTACGAAAAGATCTACCAATTCCAGCCCTGATGTTTTACCAGTAAAAAAAGCGCGTAATGGGAGATGTGAATCATGTAATGTAGACATCCCTACCAATCAGATGTCATCGCATATGAAGAGCCTTGACCATAAAGAAAAAGCCTGCTCAATTCATGCCGATGGTATATATTTAATTCAGAGTGCGTTTAAGTGCAGAATTGCAAGTTACAGAGTCAAAAGTGATAAAAAACATATAGATTATGTAACATTTTTTGATGCGGTAAAATGTAGAGTATTGGAATTGTTAAAATTTGTTCTGAGGGTCCATAATGCCATTAAAGTTAATGTAGAGGTCTTCGCTACATATGTATTGCAGAGTCAAGATATTTCTGAAATCAAATCTTTTAATAGCATAAATCGAATACTAGATTTGTCGGCGGATTTGGATGCGACATATGCGGACTTTAAAGATGCGGCGGTATCTCAAACTATAGACTTTCAACATAAGGATTCAGGTATTGTAGTTTTTATAGTGTATAATAGGGCGTTAACTAATAAATTATTCGTTGTTTCAGGCTGGTCGTTACTGGAAGTACTATTTTTAGAAGTAAATATAAATAAGTACTCTCCATTAGGCGGCTGCTCGCACATAAAGCTACCCAAGTTTATTGAAACCAAGAAGGGCGTAGTTAATGTGCAAAATAATGATGCGTACTGCTTTGCTTGGGCCATCACATCGGCACTATATCCAGCGAGAGAGCATGTTAGCGAAACGTCGTCGTATCCACACTTCGAGACCGTGCTGAATGTTGAGGGTATTGAATTTCCCATGAAGCTTAAAGACATTTCAAAATTTGAAGACCTAAATGATATAAGTGTTAATGTTTATGGTTTGGAACGTAGTTATGAAAACGGTAAGGCGAAATTTGAAATAGTAGGCCCATTACGATATTCCCGCAGAAGGTTAGGTCATCATATAAATTTACTACTAATAACGGCTGATTCGGGTAATAGTCACTACTGTTGGATTAAAAGTCTTTCTAGATTAGTGTCGAGTCAAATAACTAGAAATGGCCATAAAAAAATTTTTTGTGATGGATGTTTACTTTATTTTCGATCTGAAAGCATCCTATTGCGGCACCAATTGAGCGACTGTAATCATATATATACCTGCACGCCATCAGTAGAGCTAAAAAAAGACAAACGCGGTTATTATGTACCTGAAAATATACTCAAGTTTCAAAATTATGATAAGCAGCTAAGGGTTCCATTTGTAATTTATGCTGATTTTGAATCGATCTTAAAACCTATAGATATTTGCGAACCAGATCCGGAAAAAAAATTTACTATCCCTACATACCGACATGAGCCATATTCTTTTGCATATTTAATTAAATGTTCATTTGATAATTCATTGACGAAATTTGTAACTTTTACTGGTGACAATGCCGGTAGCGATTTCGTGAAACGGCTAGAAGACGATGTTCTAACTATTTATAATACGTATTTAAAAGATGTTGTTCCTATGCACCAATTGTCTAATGATGAAATAGATGATTTTAATACATCGAGTATATGCTCTATTTGTGATGAGGCCTTTCAGGATGGTGATGTTAAAGTAAGAGATCATTGCCATATTACCGGTAAGAAAACCCCTGGCGCCGCACACAGTAATTGTAATTTAAATTATAAAATCCCGCAATTTGTTCCAATATTTTTTCATAATTTGAGTGGGTACGATAGTCATTTATTTATTAAAGAATTGTATGGTGAAGGCGAGAGAGCCGAAGTTATTGCTCAAAATAAAGAAAAATATATTTCATTTACTAAACCGTTGTACACCCATAGCTATGTAGATAGAGACGGTATGATGAGAAAAAATTACATAAAACTTAGATTTTTAGATAGTTACAGATTTTTAGCTGATTCCTTGGTTGGGTTATCAGAAAATTTACCATCAGAATTTTTCGTAGAAACAAGGAAATGTTTTGCAGAAAAAGAAAAATTCGATTTGATGAGGCAGAAAGGGGTGTTTCCATATAATTTCATGGATAATTTAATGAAATTAGATCACCCCAATTTACCTTCAAAAGAGGATTTTTATGACAAGCTAAATGATCGCCATATATCCGATGAGGATTATGCGAGGGCTCAGAAAGTTTGGAATGTATTTAAATGTCAAACTTTGGGATCCTATTCTGATTTATATTTAAAATCAGATGTTTTAATGTTATGCGATATATTTGAAAATTTTAGGGATGTATCACTTAGGGCATATAAACTAGATCCAGCGCAATATTATACATCTCCAGGTTTGTCATGGGATGCGATGTTGCGCTACACCAGGGTAGAGTTGGAATTGCTAACGGATATAGATATGATTAATTTCTTCAAAAATAGTATACGTGGCGGTATCAGCCAATGTGTGGAAAGAAAACATATTGCCAATAATCCATTTTTATCCGAATATAATCCTTTCGAGCCGAAGTCTTCTATACATTATATTGATGCGACAAATCTCTATGGGTATAGCATGAGTCAGCCCCTACCGCCAGGAGAATTTGCTTGGTTATCGACTGAGGAAATTAATCAGCTCGACGTTATGTCAGTTGATGATCTCGGGGAATATGGTTATGTATTAGAAGTTGATGTAACATATCCACATCACCTCCATGATAAACATGCCGATTTACCATTTTTAGTGGAGAATATAATTCCACCCCATTCAAAAACGGAAATACCCAAACTGGTTCCCAATTTGAATCATAAAGACAAATACATATTACACTATAGAAACTTTAAGCAAGCCATAAATAATGGGCTAATTGTAACTAAAATTCATCGAGCTCTCAAATTTAAGCAATCTCGCTGGCTGAAAAAATATATAGATCTCAATACAAATATGAGAAACAGCGCTAAGGACACATCAGAGAAAAATCATTTTAAGCGTATGGTTAATAGCGTGTACGGGAAAACTATGGAAAATGTGGATGACAGATGCGACATTTACCTTAAAACTCACTGGGCTAGTAAGAGAAATTCCCCGGGGGCAAACAACTTAATTGCTAGACCAAATTTTAAGTCTTGTTCCATATTTTCACAACACTTTGTGGCTATACATATGGGTAGAACTAAAATATGTTATAACAAACCGCTGTACGTAGGTTTCACAGTGTTGGAATTGTCAAAAGTAAGGATGTATGATTTTTATTACGGCACATTAAAACAACAATTAGGTGATAAAATTTCCTTACTTTATACAGATACCGATAGTTTTGTGCTTAAAGTTAATTCAATAAATTTTTATGAATTTATGGAAAGAAATATTGAACATTTCGACACATCTAATTATAAATCTGATAATAAATTTAACTTACCAGTAACTAAACCAATATTGGGAAATTTTAAAGATGAGTATCCAAATCAGGCTATCAGTATATTTTTAGGGACAGGCGCCAAGGCCTATTATATTAGATCGGATGAGAAAGAAACCAAAACCGCTAAGGGCGTAAAAAAATGCGTAATACAAAACAGCTTAAACATGACGGACTACCAAAAAATTGTAGAAGGTGGGGGTAAGATATTTAGAAAAATGAATACATTCAGGAGTAAGTTACACGATATATATACTGAAATGAAAAACAAAGTTGCATTATCTTACAACGATGAGAAAAGGTTTATAATACCAAATACCGTAAAAACTCTACCGTGGGGTCACAGAGACATTCAGGA